GTTTGGGTTGCGCAGACAAAATCATTGATGTTCTTTGACAGGCTTCTGGGAAGTAGCCTTTATACATTGGATCAAAGACAGAGTGACACTTTGATAAACGCAGTCCGTTCACACCAGTGGTTTTGAAACTGATGGCTTGGAATACATACTTTATATTTTTTTATGATTTCAAAAGCGTTAGTATAGCATCCTCTTTTATATATGCATCTTAACACACAGGTAATTAGTATACTCTTCTATCAAAAGCTATTACATAAATGCAGCAGATGAAACTGTTTAGTTCTTTTCGGAGGGGCTATAAACACATTACCCATATAATCAAGGCTAATTTTGATATGACAGTTGCATTTTCAAGCACATACTTTTTTCTTGGAGTTCTCAGAAACATTTCTTTGTGTAAAGCAGTGATTGAAACGTTTGGTGTCCGGAGCATAGCTTTGTTTGCATTCATACGAAGACGATGTACAATGTACCAAAATAATGGCCCGTAACCACTTAATTACAAAGTTATTGCCCTTTGATAAAATTTCGTGGCTGGAGCACAGCTGTGATTTAAAATGGTGCCTATGAAAAACACAGCTTATTTTAGTAGGTACAATAAAAAAAGTTTCAAGGCTTATACTCTTTGAACCCTTCAAAATATTCATAAACACACATACCATTACAATCAGTGCTTTTAGCTGACATGAACATCAAGTCTGCGACTGGGTGAAATATTCCATTTCTTTCATAGTAGAATTGATATACGCTCTTCTTTCCTCTTCCAACGTTTACGTACTAGCATTTGTTTTAAAGATATGTGTTATTATTATAACCAAATGCAATACTCAAAAACAGGAAAGGTATCAAGTAAAGTTATAAGTGAGAACCAATCAGCAGTTCTACTAATACTTCTATCATTATTTAGCTGTGATTTGTGTAGTTCTAAAATAGATGTTATTCTTTGGCGTGTCTTCTGTACAGCCTTCAGAATTGAATATAGTAGACTCTGTTAGTTTGTATTTAGTCATCAAAGTTTGCTGTAAACTGAGGGACGTTTTAATACAATCAAATACATAACATATGTTTTTTGTGTTATTTTGAAATCATTCAATATGTAGACCCATGAAGCATCACTGATAAGTCATACAATGACTACTTTATTTATCTTTCAATTGGTGTTTATACGCACTATTTACTTGTGTGTCTTTTGTACAATCTTAGCCTTTGCTAGTTGTTGATTAGTAATTCGGTAAGTAAATGAAGGTAAATTAAGAAGAAAGAATGCTTAAAGCAGTGATGTTTAACCGTTAAGTTTGTTGAATTATAGCAGTGTATGTGTACGTATTTGCTACGTCCCATAGAAATGTATTCTTTATCGCCTACTATCAGGCATAACATTAGAAATAGCATTTACGTTCAGTACGAAACAAACATGACACATTAGTGTCATTGCAACCATTTGCATTTTTTTCTGTCTCATTTTATCGAATTGCATTTTAATATTTTATTGACATTGATGAATTTGTTTGACTCGAATAGCACGAAATTGCCATTTCTCTTGAACTTCATGTTGCTGAACATAGATAGTAATGAGTATACTTATTAATGATATTGTCTGACGTATAATTTACTTTATATTTAGATAATGATTGATGTGTAAATGACTTGTACTCTTGTCGTATGCCTGTTTAATTTTCGAAGTTCCATTATGTGTTAATATTAATGCTAAAACCCCAGAAAGACTACATCACGTCAGTAACGTTAATATATTGTGCTTGGGTGACTTTGTGTGTGATTTACTAGAAATTTTTCGCGTGTTTATACCGCTTAAAATAGCGTGATTCAATAATGTACCCCATAACTGTTGCATTCTTAATGAAATACCGGTTTGTATCGATTTAAGTAATGAATTACGATGTGTGTCATTAAGGAGACGTTTTAAATTTAAAACTAATACCATCATCAACAGATCAGTAATGATATATTTAATACTAGCGTCAATTTAAGGTGCTGACGATTGATATCTGTAGGTTCTAGACGCAGAAGTGGCGGAATGAAAACGTAACGCTGGAAATAATCGATTAGTATATTTCTATATATTTTTGGTTTTCATCAGTAACCTGTCACTTTACCGAGACCGTCATTCATCTTATATACCAATATAACAATACTTGTCAGTTTTAGTAATTGAAATCTTAACATCAAATTTTTCTTTCGTTATGTATCCGGTGCTCCATCGTGCCCATTACCCGCCGTGAAGTCATATGTTTTTCCTTCTAAATTTTCTGACAATGGTTGTGTATCCTGTTTGATAGCGTCTATCACTATGACAGTATATGAAATTCCGCATTAAGTTTAATATCTCAAGAACTTCAAAAAATGGTATTTACTTGTGCAAAATGTACTCATTGAAAAGTTTGTTTTTTTGGTATTAATACAGGCCTGGTTTGTTGATAAATACGAATTTAATTAATCAATATCACTGATAACTACAGTTCATTTTAAAATATAACAGCTAAAGGTCGTGTACGTGACCAATTTGGAGTCATTTTACACATTCTGAATGTGATTGCGTTTCCCATCTGTGCTGCCAGTTACGAGCCCACTCTTGGTATCCCTTAATGCCATATACCTATAGAACACACTCCTATTTGCCCCAGAATGTCAGGGAAAACGATAGGTGATACTCTCTTAAAATGGATTACAATTAAGTGTTTCATTGTTATGACTCCAATTTATACAGGGTAGTCTAAATAGTGCGTGAGTTTCCACGTACAGCAACAAGACCTAGCACAAATTTATTATGACGTTACGTGATGGTAACATTCTTTGCAGTGATGGAGGTTATCTGACTTAAACAACATAGTATTACTACAGGCCTGGTTTGTTGATGCATTAGAAATGTTTAACAACATATGGGAGACAGGTGCTGCTCCATACAGTTTACTTTAAATTCGCAACATTGATTTCTGCCCGCCGAACTGTAATGTAGTTTATAAAAGGTATTTTAAGGTGAATGAAATAACAAAAAATGTCTATTTAGCAATGGAGCAGAGAATAATTACCCTGGAAAGATAGACCTTTATGCTTTTTTAATGTACTTTCAATCATTAGGGAGTGTCGATTTGCGTTACAAGTTGTTAATAGTATTGGTCGTAAGTTTGCTTCACAATGCGGCTTTTGCCTTGCCATAGGTGTTCGAGTATATTTTATATCTAGTATAAAACATATAGCCCCTGGGATATCGACTTCAAAAGAGTTAACGAAACAAATATCATGACTGTAACTGTATAAATCACTGAAAAAGAGTGATAGTGTCTGTAGTATGCCGGTGACCATTAATTCTGATTGTCTGGTACTCTTTTTGAAAATAATAATGAATAATTAATGAAAATGCACGTAACGGATTTCAATCCGTGTTCACTTGAAGATGATTGCACTTTTCCATCTCGTTTTATGTTGATGTTTTCTAATGTGTGCGTTATTTGTAGGTTTTAAGCAGTAGCTATTATTGTAGTGCAATATATCGGTATTTGTACTTTTCGATTTAAAACAGTCTCGCTTTAGTCAGAACTGATGATGAAAGGTTATTCGAAGTTTGCAGCCGTTCGTTGACTTCGCACGTAACAGCTAACCGTTTTTATTTGCAAATTGTTCTTCAATTCAATTTATTCTTTTTTTTATGAAAAAAAATATAATCTCTTACCAACGCGAGCATTGACAAATTATCACTTGTGATGTGAGCGGTACATTGATTTCTAGAAAAAGTTTTGCTATATTGAAAACAGTTTTCCTTCCCTGGTATAACAATATTATCAACATATTTGAGATCAGTAAGAAAGCTTTTGTTCCATGAAATGTTTTTTTTCGAATTTATATTACAGTATTGATCCAGTATAAGTGTACTGAAAAAATAATCCCTTTTTCAGTGAAATTGGGTCGTTGTGTTTCTTATTCAATTAGAATCTCAATCTTCCTAAAGCAAGTATGTATTATTTTTCTTCAACGTCCTTAAAGATATTATGATAATAGGAAGTAGAAAGTTCGAAAGTGTAGGTTATGCTCAGCTTAGCTCTTTTGTTTCCTGGTCCCTTCGAAAGATTTTTTTCATGGACCGATAACGTGTTCGGTGCTATGGCGAACCTTAGTTTGGAAAGGCGAAACTTTGAAAATTATTTTCAAAAAATCATGCGAAATACGAGAGTATACATGTACTAAAGATTACATTTCGCACGTATTTTGATGAGCATTGGTAGGCTAAGGCAATCATTGAAAGGCAAAGGTTAGCCCTATTTTGATGAAATGGCAATTAAAGCCATATTTCTGTAGGGAATAAGTTTAACGCTGCGGGGTATTGATATCATTATGTTATAATTCATGTGTTAAGAAATTAAAATACATCATGTGCATACAATATAATTATATAATGTCATTATGCTTTCTATTTCTGGTCATAAACAGACCGTTTTAGATTTATTGCATTTTTACAATTTTCGTTTGGATTTAAATTTGTCTGAAGAGTTCTACTACATTAAGTACAACTGTTGCCTTTCTTGAAGCGAAATGCTGTCGTTCGTTCTATGATGCTATGATACTTAATATATCCAGGGGAAACAATAAAACCACATCAACAAAACAAAATTTCTAACTTTAAATGTAATTAAGGAATTATAGATGCTCTTCTGGTAACATGTAGACAAAATTTGTTTACGACTATTTTTTTGCGGGGGTGGGGGATGATGTCTTGGCATGAAGTTCTGCATCCATCGTGTTGCATCCTATTGAGTAGCATCGCTTTCTATCGCGACCTTTAGTTTTATTGTATTAAATATAAACAATTTTTCACGTCAGCCAAGTATTTCACTGAAAATATATTTTGTTCTTGAAAACTTTAACTCTGAAGTTGGGTTGTAGAGATGATGCAGATAAATTTATATCGCACTAGTCGTTCACTTGGACGATTTCTGCCTAATTAAGATCCTTTAGTATTTATTTCGGTGTTTCAATATGATTTACAGCCTGAGGGCACTGTCACGTCGGGATACTGTGTGCGAATCAACACCGGTGCCCCTCTTCCCGTGGGGGCAGATGCTGTGATACAGGTCGAGGATACTCTGTTGGAACGATATACGGACGACGGACGTACAGAGCTTGAAATTAAGATTATGAAACCTCCTTCAGTAGGGCAAGATATCAGGTGAGTCGCCAACAACAATTGTGATATATCATAAACATAAATTTGGAGTTAAAGTTATTTAGTTTACCAACAGTTCGTCTATCAATGTACATATTTTGAATAGAAAACCGATTTTGATTTGCCTATTAGGTTTTAGAATTTAGGCCCTTATCATCCCTGACAAGCATGTATAATGCAGTTTAATTCATCATTTGGATCTTCTGTTCCTAAATTTAAATTCGTATTGAATTGTGTTGTGATTTAAGATTTAAAGTGGCGGACACTGGTGTTTTTAAGACCTATTGCCATCATGATTTGTCCGTCATAGTGCGTCGTTAACATTTCACATATTCGACTTCTTCTCAAGAACCACTGAATGGATTTTGACCAAACTTGGCACAAAGCATCCCCATGAGAAGCCGCTTCAAGTTTACGAAGAAAAAGGGCATGGCCTCAATAGGGGCCCCAGGAGGGGGGACAAAGGGGTAAAATTAGGTAAATCTTTAAAAATCTTCTTCGCATGAACCAACAGTCAGATTAAGTTCATATTTGTTATGGCAAGGTCTACAAAGTTTGCCAGTGGATAGATTTTGACCAAACTTGGCACAAAGCCGCTTCAAGTTTGCGAAGATAAAGGACGTGGACCCAATAGGGGCCCCAGGAGGGGGAAAATTGGGGTAAAATTAGGTAAATCTTTAAAAATCTTCTTCGCATGAACCAACAGTCAGATTAACCACTGGGTTGATCATCTCTAAACTTGAAACGAATGTTCTTCACAAGGTCCTGGCAAGTGTTTTAACTTTTTGGGGCGATTCAAAATCCAAGATGGCCATCCTGGCCTCTGTTTGGCTAAGACATTTTGGACTTCCTCTCAAGAACCACTGGGTGGATCATGTTCAAACTTGGTACAGATGTTTTACATACGGTCCTGCACAAGTGTTGTTACATTTTTGCAACATTTTAAAATCCCCAGATTATTGAAATATATTCCTCAGGTGACCGTTAAGGCCCCTTGGGCCTCTTGTTGTTTATCTTCCCGGGGTTTGCGGTAACCGTCATTCCATATTTTGATCTCCACATTCGACGCATGTACTTGAAGTTCATTCGAAATATCAGATACATGAACATTTCGGAATTTATTGAAAAATTGAAAAATATTTTCCGTCGCGAGTCCAAGAAAAATAAAACAGTTGTATAATGCAGATTTATTCATAATATTGCTCTACTGTATCAAATTATAAATTTGTAATTGAAGGTTCTATTTGCTTGTGTGTCTTTTGTACAATTTTGGGATCACACACCTTCGACCAGCACAGTGTATGGATTGTTCATCGTTTGCTGTTCGTCTTTTAACATTTAAAAATGATACAAAATCATTTTATATTTTGCCAATATCTAGCATTGGTAACTCATTGCGCCGAAGTAGAAACAAGGAGTACTTTCTAAAGAGTTTGTTTGCAACGTTTACTGAAACTTTGACATTCGCGGCAAAATTCAAATATTTGATGCCATGATATCGAACTTCAAAGTTTTGATATATCTTCAGAGACAGGACCTTCACTTGTGATATTTTCATATTACAACCGTCTTGAAGGCAATCACGATGATATTATAATGATTTAACTACTTAATTAGTATCTTCAATACTGACTTGGGCTGCGTCCGCAATTTCTCCTTCACGAGACATTCGGAAAAATCGGACATTCAAGACGATGACCTTGAAGTCATCCTGATCATTATGTTGTCACTTCTTAAAAATTGGAATATGTATCCAGACGTGATGAGTATGCTTTAAGGATGATCTTAACTCAACTTTCAGTGTTCCTATCACATTGTCTTCCAGGATAGTTCTCTCAGACGCTTCGACTGCACAGAACTACACAGAAAATACCTGCATGTCAATAGAATCATAACCAAACTCAAATTCAATAACATTGGTGCAAAATAGAAACAAACGAAAGACTAACACAGATGCTTCATATGTTCCCAAATCAGACAATAGTGAACAGGAACGTAACAAACAGGTATACTATAGGTCAAACAACTTCATGTCGCATAAGGAAATTACATTATAACGACCGGAATACGAAACAGCTAACAGCGTATTCTCATTAACTTTGGAAGTTTTTCACTTTTCAAAAAAAAAAAAAAAAAAAAGCCAATGCTTTTCAATTTCAAACTGTAGTTTATTTTGTCCAATGTTGTGTACAAACCTTTGAGTTTTAGTAGGATTTACTGATTGATTGTTTATCAATGCTTCCTTTGATCTTATTTGTTGCCCTTTGGTACTAATTTTTAGAGTAGTTGGAAGATGCGTTTGGCCAATTTACGTGGAACCCTAAAGTTTAGACTAGATGACTTTTATATTTGGTTTCAGTTTGATACAACAAAGATCAAACTAGAAACCTGAATGACTCGTTTTGATTAAATAACATTTGGATGGTTGTCGGAAGTGACACAAATGACTGCCATCATGTGACGCTGGTTGTCAGGGAAAAAAGAATAGAAAAGAACAAAATGATTATTGAGTATTCAATTATTTGGAAAAAGATTGCGACTTTCGTAATCACAGACCCCTGTTTTGTATCTGTTGTTTGGATAATTGATTCCTCAACCAAGGCGAAAATGTGATTTATTAATACTAAAAGGATTTTTGAAAAGATCACTGCTATCTGTTTTTCCAACCTCGTAAGGATGGTTCACAGCAAAATCAATATGGGCACCAGTAACCATTATTTAGTCCAATATTTAGTAAATTGGTGGTGTCATGTTCAGTATCAATGAGTTAGGTATAGACCTTCCTAGTTGTCCTTTGTAGCGTACTTCAATGAAATATATTTGACTTTTAGAGGCCGCGTTGGCGGAGTGGTTAAGGCGTCTGACCGTCATTATCACTAGCCCTCCACCTCAGGGTCACGGGTTAGAGGCCAACGTGGGACAGTCACCAAATACTTGCCGCAGGTCGGTGGCTTTCCTCCACTGCCCAAACCTGCCACGTCCTTAAATGACAGTGGTTGTTAATAGAACATGATGGAACATTAAACTTAATCAAATAAATTTGATTTTTTTTTGCAATTGCTACCGTTAGGATAATAAACTGAAATAAAATTCAACTCTTCCGCATATTAATATAAAACTTTCAATGATTTGTAGACCAATGGGATCGGATATTGCTAAGGGTGAAAAGGTGCTTTGTAAGGGACAAAAATTAAGCCCCTCGGAGTTAGGCCTACTAGCAACTGTAGGCGTTACCCACGTGCCATGCTTCAAGCAGCCTGTTGTCGGGGTCATGTCAACTGGGAATGAGGTAAGTAAATACTTCATTTACTTATACTTACATATTAAGAAATAAATGTAACTGATTTTTAGCAGTAAAATCAAGGATATCATAATAGGCAAAATAAATATTTTGAAATAGACTTGTTGCAAATGTGTGTTTGATTTATTTTTGAACCTACTGTATCTAACTTTGAAATAAACGTTATTATTCACTTGTGTGTCTTTCTATGCAATGTTACATAATGTATAGATATTTTCAATGTTGTCACACAATGTTAAAGGGTAGTCTATGTGATGCTCTCGTTATACCAAATGAACAAAATATTTACGTATAAACAGTTTAATATAATCATTATGTATTTGTGATGAAAATTTGTAACTGACCAGCTACTGGAACCGGACGAGGCGTTGAGGGAGGGGAAGATTCGAGACAGCAATAGGACCACCCTCATAGCTCAGCTGCAGGAACATAATTTTCCCGTCCTTGACCTTGGCGTTGCCAAAGACAGGTACATTGTAACCTTTAAAAAGTTAGGCATGAATAATGTAATCGAGACGGAATATTTCATTACGAATTGTTAGTAATAAAATTGTTTTACCACATCATGATACTCGACCTGTCCGTCTGTCCGACAACTGGTCAGCAGTCAAGGGGCTACTTGGTATTCTAAATACATTTCAGCTATAAAGTTAATAGGCTGTATGGGTGTGTTCTAAACAATATTTGAACATAGATTTACCGATTAGTTATGTAAGTATAGAATAGACTATTAATTATCATATATAAGAATACTACGTATCTACTGTTACCACGCACTGGTAATTAAAAGAATTAAATACGTAAATGATATGTTTATTTTCATTGTATTTTCCTTTGCTGGTAACGTGCTAAAGCATGTCGGAAAATTGTGAAAGAAATTATTGGGTAACATTTGTTTTGTCAACTTACAAACAAAAATCGCTTAATATGTACAAATTATTGTTATATTTTCAACTAGTTGTCGGGTTTGAAAACCGAATGATGATATATGTACTGCAATGTATATATGCAACAACTTTAATTCAAGAGGGTAATTACTGAACAAGCACACAGTTGAACAAGCACACAGTTGAGTTGATTAATTTAAATGACATATCCGTACAATGACATTTTCCTTGTTAATTGCTGTTTATAGTGCCTTACTGAATGTTGACCAGGTGAAATGTATAAACAGAAACATTTGCGTCAATATTATCATTTTGTGTTAATTTGTCATGCAGGAATTTGTCAACGCTTGCTTGCTGACTTAGTTTATTAACCAGGTGTTGATCACACCAGTTTTAGCTCGCCTTAGTAGGATCACTAATGGTGTCACCCCGGCTTCGGCATAGCTTGTAAACTTATATCTCTGTGTTAGATATATGTGAAGAATTTGACGCAAGTGTTAAAAGACATCGGGCTATGCTTATCTTGTGTGTCGTTTGTACAATCTTTAAGATAGCAGGTGGTAGACAAGTCCCCGAGGTATGCCGTAATCTGCTTGCCACATTTTAATTTACTCGAATAGTGGCACGGTTCAGAATATACGCTGTTCTAAAATCATGATATATGAAAATTACGAAATGTATCTGATTATTTAGCTGCTGCACCTCCTCATCTAGATTTTGACTATCCTTTCGATCGCTTGGATTTCCTTAGTCGCCTATTTGGCTTCAAAATTTAGGCCCTTATCATCACTGGCAAGACTTATAAGGACGAAACAGATATATGATGCAGTTGAATTCATTGTTTGCCTCTACTGAATCAAACTCTAAATTATTAAAAGTTGCTATTCACTTGTGTATCTTTTGTACAATTTGCATCCGGTCTTGGTAAACGTTATCATGGATTCAAACAGCTAACACACATATACTTGGCATTTATTGTGCATGTAAGGTGTTCACCTCATTCAACAGGTCATGCACTCTTGTTTCATATTGTATCATGTGCCTTTGTATGCAGATGGCAATGAGGACATATGGTAGTTGTATGAACTGAATATCTGGCTTTGCATGATATGAGATCATCCGACTGGCCAATTGAGCTATAGGGATACCGTGGTGTCTGTCGTTTGTCGTCTGCAACTTTTGCTTCAGAACGCTACTATTCATGACTAAGAGTACTTTGACCAAATTTAGTCAGAAGCATCATTAGGGGATTGGGAACATTTTTATATAAATGGCGTGTCCCGGCCTTCCAGGACCTGAGGGACAGGATTCAAAAGGTAAATAAGCTCTTTAAAATCATTAAAAAGGGGCGTTAAATAAAAGAAATAAAGCAAATGCTTTAAAATCCTACTCCTCCTGTAGGAATGATTGAATTTTGCCTAAATTTGATCTGAAGCATGTTTGGATGAATGGGAATCAATTTTTTTTATAAACGGTGGATCTCGACCCCCTGGGGCGGTGTCCATTAGGAGAAATTGAGCAAATTTTAAAAATTGCTACTCCTCTTGTAAGAATGACTGGATTTTGCCAAATTTGGTCTGAAGCATCTTTACGTGAAGAAAATCCATTTTGTTAAAATATTGGATTTCCGCCCCCTTGGGTGTGAAGGGCGGCGTTAAGTAAAAAGAATAGAGCAAATGATTTAGAATCCTATTCCTCCCGTCGGAATTATAGGGTTTTGTCCAAATTTGGTCTGAATTGTTTTTGTTAAGGGGAATCAATTTTGTATAAATTGAGCAAATTCTATAAAAGCCTACTCCTCCTGTAGGAATGATTTACTTTTTTATCAATTTTTTTGCCTTAAACATGTTTGGGTTAAGGGAAATCATTAATATAAAGGATTGATCTCGATCCTCTGGGGCGGTATTGGTAGGGCCCAATAGGGAAAATAGAGCAACTTACTTAAAATCCTACTACTCCTGTAGGAATGAATGGATTTTTGCCCAACTCAGGTTTTGGTGAAGGGAAATCAAATTTACATAAAATGTGGATCTTGGCCTCAAAGGGCAGGAAGGGGGGAGCTATGTAATTGTAGGAATTAACCCTTGGGTGTTGCACACCTCAATGGCCATTATTTCTGGTGCATATTTTTGATACAGTTGAGATAACAACCTGATAACCATATAAACTCTTACTGGGAATCAAAACAGAAAGATAGCAATAATATACAAATTTACCTGGTCTTGCCCAAATCAAAGAGGTTAAGTGATTGAGCTGTAATTTGGAAATATTTGAAATACCAACCTATAGGCATGTTTAACATTGCTGGACTTTTAAGTTCCAGGTAAGCCATACAGGTCCTATGGACCTCTTGTTTTCTTATATACATTGCAGCACTTGTCTTTATATTCCAAATCTTCTCCTTTTCAATAGCTTAGCGTACCCGTTTTTTATGTCCTTTATGTTTTTAACTTCACGTTACCTAATCAGCTAGATCATAATTATGCAGAAGCACACACATCATCCCCCTTCCCGCTTATGCCAGTAAGAAAAATACTGTCTTTCAGAAAATTAAGGAAATGTTCGCCTTGAATGGTTGTTGTCTAGTATTCATCTAAAGTAATATTATTAACTGTGTTGTAACAGAATTAATTTTATTTGGTGATCGGAATCAGTAGATCGTATCTTAAGTGTGTGAGACAGCGGTCTATCTGGGAGATGTCTCATACATACAAACACCACCAGTGAGTCATGAGAACAAATATAAAAGGATTTGATAATTATTACAGTCATCGCTTTTTGTGTATTTTAATCGACAAGTCTGTCTAATCACATATTACATGCGGTATTATCATTTAAAGTGATGACTATATGTACCAGATTAGAATTAATCATCGGTTCTATATTAGGATAGCATTACAGTTCTGAAATGGGTTTAGTAGTGAACATTTTAACATTACGTAAGTTTATGTTATGTAGTAGTGTCTCATTACCGTCTGTATCAGTCACTTGTGAACGCCTTCTATGTTAGTCATCGAGCGAACCGGCTTGTTAGGCGTGAAAGAGTAATTATCATCAAATATTGACCATTTTACAATGATGTTTCGACAAATAGAAGTTTTCGATAGAATGTGCAAAGTAATCGAATTGCTATCTTTATGGAAGTCAATCCCTTCGTTGTTAGAGATTGAGAAAATGTAATCGGATACCAGTCTTTTGAGAGTTGTCTGTAATTATTAATATGTAAAGAGTTTATGTCGCCATCGAGAAGGTGACAAATTAAACATGGAGAGAAAACTACAGAAACTTATTATTTCAGATACGTTATTGGTTCGGTTTTCCTCTTAACAATTTACAACGGACAATGGATTTCCGCAAATTTGGATTCAATCAGTTTAAGTAACAAACATCTTGAAATTATATCCCACCCACAACAACCACACATCCGCATGTTGTTGTCTGATATGGGCAAGCGATAGTGTAAACGAAGTCAGAATATTTTTTAATAATCATCTTGCGATGGTTACAAAAAGATAGACTGATTTAATGCATGTGATACAGGCACTGTATATAATATACATTTTGTGCTTTGAACAGGATGGTGATATAACGTTTCTCGTTTGAAAATATAAACAAGATTAGGACCTGGGATTTAGTACATTACACATCGCCTAAGTATAAGCAATGTATACACCAAGTTTCCTAATCCTTGTTTATCTGTGGACAAAATTATGTTCTGAAAACGAAAGGACGGACGGACATGGCGGCGATTATATACCCGAAATTTTTCGGAGAGCATGGAAATATATCTAAATGCTCTCATTTGAGAACGTGATATGACTTGCTTGTATTTAGTAGATTTACCTGGCGGATTATGTCGATGAAGCAGTTGGAGTAGAAAATGTTTTGCTCTTCCGGAACACCTGGTCTTATTTTCCTTGTACTTTTTAAGAGGTTCTCCCTATAGACATTTTAATTTTTATTCATGTTTGTCCTCGTGTTATTGATTTTGAGTTTGGATAATGATCATCTTGACATGTTGATATTTCGTTTTTTTTTTTTGTTGGTTTTTTCTGACCCTGTATGCAGAAGAACCATTATTGAAATCTAACTGAGTCATCTAACTCTCTCGTGTGCACCTTTCATTATAACCATTTGCGCAATTGCAGGTGAGTTGATATCTTTATGGGGAGTGAAGATATACTCATCTCTCTTTACACTGAATGATGAGGTGGTGGTCATACCTTAGAATGAGATTACTCGCCACAATTAGGTATAACTGGCAAAGTTCAACGCAACAGGTCATGTGATTGACATCTCCAGTCTGTAATGATAACGAGGTCGACATGTTAGTTTACAGATTACAACTCACTGAAATCCGTAAATGAAATTCATAGAAAAATATTCTACGAGTACCCGTACGTATCTGTCCATAATTAAGGCCAGGAACGATAACTGTTGTTTTATTAGAGGATGCAAGAGAGAAGACAGTGTTTAGTATAAAAACAACAAAGGAATGACTGACATGTGTAACAAAATCTTAATTAAAACTCAGAGGCGATTACAGAGGAAGATATAAACAAAGGAAAGATATTTACACTAGTACTCATGAAAACGTACAAGGAGATTAAGATAAGGTGTTCTGAAAGGTTGGGCGTCTTTTAGTTCATTTAAAAATATAAACTTTGAGCTTGATGCGCACTTGTCAAAAAATAAATACTTATAATTATTTAGATAATGAAATAAAAAAAAAACTAGAAAATAAAAACTGGTTTAATAAGACATTAATATTCTGTTCTGCGAGTTGAGCACATATGTGAGTTTCAAATATTAGCATCACATTTATATAAGGATAACTATCCGATTGAACTTAACCATATCAAAAGAATGATTAATCTTAATTTTCCATTTTGTTTACTCTCTAGTAAATCGTACCTTGAACATAAAGCATGCACCTTCGTTTTAACCTAAGGCATGGCCATGATAGCAAAAGCAGTACTTATACGTGGTGATAATAGGTTTGCATAATGTTTTTGAAACGTGATTTCGCGGGAAGGTTTTTTTTTAGATTTATAGATAGATTAAAAGATGCATTTTGTAATCTGAAGTTTGATCAATAAGCTTAATCATGTAAATATAGAGTAATTGTCAGATCTTAGATTACAACTTGTGAAAACCTCACTCATCCGCTAGTGACTTCGAGAGTATGGGATTTAGGATGCTCATTCAAAACAGAGACAATTCTTGGGAAGGGTGAGGCCATTCCACTTAGAAGTGTAGACACTTTGACAACTTCTGCATAGCCACTTCAACCCAACACACTAACGCACCCTTCAGACTCTTCAGACACACCGTGGAAGAATATTAAACAGCCTGGCAGACGACAACTGTTGACAGCTGTATCGTGAACAATTCGGTCACTGAGAGATAGAAGATTGTGTGAAGATTAAATAAGATGGTTGTTCCGTTGATGGGATGTCTTATATTAATATGCTTTTCTGTTGTAGTCCCGATAGCCTCCTGAAGTTAATGAAATCCTCTCTTGAGAAGGTCGATGTCATCGTGACCTCGGGTGGAGTGTCAATGGGCGAAAAGGTATTATGTCAACTATTGAATGTATACATTCAGGATTTTTGCAATGCCTGAATATTACATGTTTTAATCCAGTCGATCTATTATATATGTTTAAAGTGATATACCTTTGAATGGAGTTAACCAATGTTCCATATGCTATTATGATAAAGAGATATGGAAAATATTTACTTGCATCGCAATCTATACTGACACACTTAGACGCCTCTGTTTGGAAGATAGGTTTACAGAATAAAACAAATACTAGACTGCGATCACCATGCCCATTACTTACGAAAAAGCATAGGCCATAAGGGCACATGATCCGAAGTCATTCTTATACATACAATTGTACAAGAGGTATGGCACAATGGAAATATGTATAAATGATAACTACATAGTAATACTTTTGTGATGAGGAATCATTTTACTGATGATTAAGTCCTAACAGGGTGTATATATCTCTAGCAACCTGATTTATGCACAGTATTAATATGCGTGAATACATATTTCATGTGTGTCTCTCCCGGTCAATATAGACCATATTTCGGTTGGATTCCAGTCTGTTCGGAAATGTCCTCACGGATAGATTCAAGAAATATTTCAACCGATGTTATCCGATGATTTCACTAAACTTTGAACTTTATCTGATTTCGATCAATTCAAAAGTAGCTTTGTCATGAAATAATATATTTTAAAGTAACGGGTTTTAACATTTTTTTTTTGTAAATTTCATTTCAGGATCTATTGCGACACGTATTACAGACGGACCTTAAGGCGAAAATACATTTTGGACGAGTTTTTATGAAGCCAGGGTAAGGTCGTGTTGTTTTATAACGGCTACATAGTCAAAAGGAAATCTACATGAATGTTTTTATAGGTTTTTACCCACGTGTCTCGCGTGTTTCGTTTCACATTTGCTGTAGTATATGCATCATAATCATATTTCGTTACAAAGTACAGAATGTCTTAATACATACGATATTATTGTCAACTTGAACATATCAGAGACCTACAGAAAGATTATCAGAAACTAATCACGGCGTGATTGCACTTTAAAGTTGCCAACACTAAAAATTACAAACATTTCACAACATCGTAATTCAGATTCAAAGCCGGTGTAGCGAGGAAGGATAGAATTAACTGAACGAATACTCAGTAAAGAGAAACGATAATAAAAACCACTGCGTCCTTGACGATAGCTTCATATACAGTATTTGCAAAGAAAAGCTGCTGTTTTAGTTTATTTAAAAGTCATTATGGACGAATAGTGTTACCGGATGATAAAAAGTAAAAGTCTTAATTTGTTTTATATTCCACTATTTTACTTTTATAGGGAGTCAGAGGGTAGGGGGTATGGAAGTGTTACATATGTCCGTCCATCTCTTCTCGTTACTAGTCATTGTCAATTCTTCAATAGCTCTTCACAGATTTAGCTCATATTATCAATTTCCACACATTGAAGTGGTCATTGTTTGAATGGTCATTGGTCAATGTTAATGAGTCAAAGGTCAACACATGTAATTTCAGATATGATCTCCGACTGCTTATGACACTAATTTCGGCTCCTATCTTACGATGTACTGCGCCTAGTAAAACAACGCTTATTGTAAGCAACGCGTTGGGTATCTTTCTGTAAGCTGAAAAAAGTTAGCATGTGAAGTTTTATACGGAGAAACATTACTATCTAGTGCAGCCAATCGAATTATCGCTTTCATATAAAACTGTCAATAGTTTGAAATCATAACATGGATTTGAATTAGGTACAAATGTTTACCGGCACCACGAGACGTCGAGGATTACTTTGAAACATTAGTGTATTTCTAACATGTGTTAATCAAAACTAAATGCATAACAACATTTATGTTTGTGATCAATTGATATTTTCACAAGAATCGGTGAATATACCAATATACAATGCACCCATGTTTTTTCAAGAAAGTGCTTCCAGTTCTTAACGTCGCTTTCGGTGGCTGTACAGCTTGCTTCGTAAACACTTTATCATAATATGTCGGCTGATCTAATCTGATCTATCTGTCACTTTAGTTAAAAATAAGAAATAAGAAAACATGCGTTCTTGGAAATTTGTGTTTCAATTCGTGCATAAAGATTGAATTTGTTGCTTAGGCTGGTCACAATAACTAAGTAGTAAAATAACAATTATAATACTTGGTACTCATTTTTTCTCACTCTGTGCTAGAATCGTCTTATCAACACTACTGATTCGGACTGTCATTTAGTGTTCAGATATTTTTTTAAAAAATCCTCCAAATGTTAGAAAAGGATATCACAGCTTGTAAGATACCGTAAAACATCCTTTGTTAACTCATAGATGACATGTGTCGAGCACTGGACACTAATAGCTACTTCTAAATCCTGAAACCACAAAACCAGCTGGACCGTGACATGCCAAAGCACAGTTACCTTAACTTAGCGGATCTACTTCATTTTTTCAATGATTTAATAACCATTCTTGTGCTATTGTCCTTTTTCAACTCAACAAACAAGTCAAATTTAAACAGATGGTAGATTTTGTCGAATTCATTTGACTGTCCTATATCTGAAACTTTCAATATTGACCGTAATTATGACGATCTGATAGGCAACTAGGACTCAAGAGCATGGCCTCGTATGGTTTATTGTAATTTGAGGGATGCTGGAGGTGGTCCAAGGATATCTAGGCCAGTAGAGATGGATACAAGGATGATGAGTGATAAAGAAGTAATGGCCCTTATTGTTTGTAAACTCTCACATGAAAGAACCACCTATCAACCGCCTGTATAACATATTACACCCACTTGTTTGATCACTGGGAGGAAATTCATGCAAAATAACACCGTGTGTAACGGCACATACCTAAATTTTCCTTCCGGATAGAGCACAAACCACACACTAATTTTTACCATTTATCGCTGTGTAAATGAAGTAAATAGCTCGTGTTTACTGATCCAAAATACATATTCTTTTGTATGTGATATGATTAGCCATTCTCCGTTATACAATATATAAAAATATATATATCACAGATGAAAATTGGTAAATAGGTTAGGAGAAGTTTTGAGATACTTAATTTGTTTTCGGGAAGAAGAATCGCCTCTCTTTATACTGGATATTTGATGTTACCAATATATACTTCGGGATCATGATTTTTACTCCTCCTAGCTCTTTCACTTACCGTATCGATAGGACAGCAGGGTCTTAACTTAGAATCAAATATGATGAAACTTGGGCAGAATATGAGTAAAAGAAATATTTACCCGCAGATCCCTGAATATGTTTAAGAAAAATAGACCGGGTGGTCAGGAGGAGTAAGCGTCTTCTGTTTCGTTGACGACACTTGCCTTGCAAATTTAAGTCAATGCAAGTACATAATGGGTATTTCCTATGTGAAAACTAAGTAAACAACAACGGAACCACTGGGTATACTAAGAAGAATTAAATGTGTCCAGCTTCATATCGTACATCATTACATCGTATGTTATATTTCTCTTATACCCTTTTCTGGTTTTACCAGATCATTAACTTTCTTACATATGTTTCATATTGTAGTATAAAATAAAACAGAAATTTAGTGTATGAATTGTTTCTGGAGATAGGGAAAAAGATGAATATTTACTACGTTGAAAACTACATTTTTTAAAAATTTCTCTTAATTCAAATGAGACAATTACAAAATCTACACTTAATTGAATTTTACAATGAAGATATAGCTTGACTTTTTCTTCAAAAGGACATTATCCGGAATGATTTAACGGCAAAATTAAATCGTAGTAAGGATAAATTTGAGGTAGGATTTTCTAGGAATGACTCTTCATTCCTTGTAAAGTAATTGCGGGATGTCATTGTATTGTATTCGAGTCGTTGGTGTTTAGATACCACGGGTCATTAATATATTTGAATAGCTTTGACGGGAAACAACATCTTCTGAAGTCAAGCAAGTGCAGCTTAGGCTTGTCTGACGAAGAATGCAGGCTGTTTAAATGTGTATTCCTTAACACAGAAAGTTTCTCCTACCAAAGTCTCTATGCATTGTCATATCAGCAAATATTATCGTATCTTTAAGAGGAACTGAAGATCACATCGGCTACTCCGCACAGTTCACGAAAGTAACAATGCATGACCAAGAATTACTCTCTCCATTTCATTTCCGGATTGAGATCGCAGTAAGATAGATCAGGCTATATATGATAAGGCAGTGTTATAACCAGGCACACGCTACCAACCACAAAGATTTTTTTTTTTTTAACTTCCCGAATCAAAGATGAATTGTGTAGGTTTATTTACGGTGTAATTCATATTTATTACTACTCATTTCTGTCTTTTGTTTATGTATGATGATACATGTACACATGAAACACTAATGTAACAAAACATGTACGAAAAGTGCAAAATTTATTCCATCTATAATTATACAACATTCATTCTACTTGTGATTATATAGTGTTTGGTTTTGGATACTCACAGCGGTAATTTTGGTTTCTCTTTTGAAAAAACGAAAGTGTTTTTTCTGCACTTCCTACTTGAATTATGGACTATTCATGGAATCGTACCTGAATACCGCTAATGTCTGTAGGTAGCAACATAAAGATACTAACTTAGTTCCATTTTACCTCAGTCAGACTATTTGTGACGATTCTGTTTTCATGAAAACAAAATGGATAATATCTTAAATGTTACAACTTTCTCGTAATATTTATTTGGATGTTTAATAACAAACAGTTTTAAGCTATAACCCCTGCATCAGTATGGCATTTGAAAGATAAAGGTGAATTGCGAGGAAATATGAACGTAGGTGGTTGTTTTGTAGAAATTTGAAATGTTAAAGTAATGATATCGGCCTTGGGGGATACTTTACGTAATTTTATTGAAATTTCTCTTACTATAAGCAGATTTTTATGGTTTTGGAGTTTTCACCTTAAGGGTTATGTGAAATATTTAATGTCAGTTTAATACAATCATTGATTTCAATTTTAAAGGTTTCCACTGATGCAATGTGTTCTGTGATGGTAAAATGCGGGTAATTTTCTTCAATTTACCTTGTTTCAACAGGATGAGATAAAGACCGTCTGCTGATTTAGGGTTAGATTTACTTTTATTTAGTGGAATGGACCTGACGAAGAGATGGTGCTAATGATGTTACTGTAAAAGTGTTATTTCTTAACAGGTAGACACCATTTGGGTGTGTTATTGCCGGTTAAAGGTACAGGTCTGCACCCTTTCCATCGGTCATTCAGCCTTTGTGCGTCACTTGATTGGAGACGTTGTTCATATAGTCTTTCACTCTTAGTACTGCCAATTTTTGTTGTGGGTACCTTTGATCTTTGCATTGCCGACTGAAGTGTACTAAAATCGGCATTCATATTTCATTATACACAGAGTAATGTCCTGTTTCCCCCGTCAGTAGGTTAGTCAGGAGTTCATCTCGGATTACTACACCGTCTTATGATATCTTTTCTGCTAGCTAGTCCCTATCGCGTACTTAACCTTGTAGCATTTCTCTTATGGTGCAAACAAGTGTACAAGAAACTCCTGTGAAAAAAGTATCCTTTCAAACAATTCAAATTTAGACATAGTCTATGCCAGAAAATGAAAGAAAATCACATATACAGCCGTTTCTACCTTCGGTAATCTGCATACAATGCTTGAATTTATTCGAATAGTAGCAAGGTTCAGAATATACTTTGCGTTCTTCTGGATTATTAGATATATGAAAATTATACGAAGTGTTTTTTTTTTGCATTTGTTTCGATTTTTATTTCCTCTGTCGCCTCCGAGGTTTCAAGCCAATCAAATAACAGGATTTATAGCCATGACC